TCTTTTTGGCCTAGAGATAACGTGAAAATTAAAAAAAAAGTTCCAGCTCCGATGATGTCTCTAATATGATGAATGAAAGTACAACCCGTTTTTAAGGAATAAATTTGTGTCGATATAAGCTTTTTTGAAGTCTCGTTTTAATGGTAAAGTATTCAAGTTCATTTTACTAAGAGCAAAAAACCGACTTCTTTTTGCTCCAAATCTCAACATTTAATGGTTACATTAAACAAAAAGGGTCGCTAGAGCAGATAAATAAGATAGAATAGTTTTGGGAGAAAAGCGATAATGGAAAAGGAAGCTACTATTTGTTGTTGTTTGACCTTGATTTCGCAATTTGGTCATATTGGTAGGACGACTTAGAGGAGCGAACTTATTCCGGAGCCCATAGTATGCATGATTATTTCCAGAGTGGGACAGTGGACTTGGTACAGTCCCATTCTTTCGCTGGCATCGTAGTCGGCATCGTCAGTGAGCCTTGCCATTCTTAGCACTAGAAAACAATTCGCCAAATAGGCAATTGAAGTCGATCCTTTGACCAATTGTGTGTTAAACTGTTGTGGTGACTCTCCTTCTGTCTTGTCTAGATTAATGAAGGATCTAGGCAGGTTTCTTAGTCCGGTTAATTTTTAAAACTGTAGAGTATGGCCGAACAGAAGGCGTAGAGGTTCCGGGATTTTATAAATAAGCGGCAGGGCAAGAAATTTCTTAGATATGGAGTAATTAGACAGTGAAGGAGGAAACTAACCCATGCCAATTTTGATGGTTCTGTATTGAAGGCATGTACTGGTACAACCGACGATAGAGATAAGCTAGTAAACCTGTCCTCAGTCCCTCTTGATTCTGAAATGGTGGTTCTCCTGAAGAAAGGATTACATTTATCAATCGATAACGAAAGAAACAGTTTGGAAGATATTATTTTAGAAGGTATCGAAATATCAGGGAAATTTCCAGAAGAGAACAAATGGAAGATAGAAACGGAACTAATCCTGAAAACTCTGTCACATCAAGAGCCAATGAAAAGGAGCGGACTGATAAATAAATGTAGAAAATTAGAAATAAATGACAAACTAGTTCTTCAGGCGGGTAAGAGAGGTGCGACTGTGATAATGGACAGGTTACAGTAAACGAAAAAAATGGAAAATATCCTAGACGACCGGAAAATCTCTCAACTAGTAAGAAAGGATCTAACCATGAAGATAAACAGAATACTGAAGGCCATGTTAAAGTAATGTATAACAACGGAGAAATCTACAAATTGATAATGAATTCGTTGATACAAAATGACGCAAGATCTCCGATAGGCTACGGACTATCGTAGCTACACAATGAAAGAAATCCGCTAAGATTGAGTCAAAAACAAGAATGGAGCAACACACAAACCAGCGAAATTTATATAATTGAATCTTATTAAAGTAATCATATCAATTTTCTCAAAGGATCCAAACTATTGGACTGGCAGGGACAGAAATGTTTGTAAGTTTTAAGGTACAATCCATGTACATAATTATCTCAGACGAGAAGGCAGTCACCGCCCTGCTGGAGGTTTTGGAACGAGAGAAGGATACGGAAGGCGTCGTTAACACGACAAATCAATCTGACGGTAAGTATCCCATATTTTGCAATCAACGGAACTATTTATGAGCAAATATTTGGAGTAACACTGGGATCTCTACTCTCACCTCTTCTGATAAATGTATACATGTACAGATTGGAGAATGAATTCTAGAAGTCACCTATGCGATACCTGGACAATTACTTTACACTTTGGTCGCGTGGTAAGGAAACTTTTGATGAGTTACTCAATTTTATAGACCAACTGGATAGAAGGATTAAATTTACAATCAAGCTAGGGTACGATAAATGACTACACTTCCTGGATATTTAGGTCATTCGCTCCAACGGAATACTGACGAGGAGACTATTCAGAAAGAAATTATATGGGGGAATAATCCTCGATTTCCAGTCTCATCGCAACTGCAGACTGAAGCTCAGAATAACAAGGAGGATGATCATCAGAAGCTTGAGACTAACAAACACTGAGTTCTGGAACAAGAAGTTGGAGAAATTTAGTCCGTTTTCCAGGAACGCGGCTGCTTTGGGATTGAGAGGAAATGAGGATAAGTTTAATACTTTCTTCCGATCGCCGGGCTAAGCAGTAGGTGCTGTCACCTCGGAGGACACTTCAACTTGACGTACTGGCTTTAATTTAGGCAATTTATCGTAATGAGATGTATTCACCCTATTTCGTGTAAGGTGATGAAGGACTGGTAGTAGAATTTTCCCAC